AGGGGAAGGGGTCTGCGGAGGGTGGGGGGGCGGGGGGGCTCCCTCCCATCCCCCCCGCCCAGCCTTGCCTCCTCTCTCCCTCTCCCCGTGTCTCTCTCTCTGCCTCCTGATGTTTGATCCCGCCGCGGCGCCCGCAGGGATGAGCGATGGAGGGGCCGAGCCCGGCGGGAGCCCCGTGCTGCTGGCCGAGCCCGCGGCCACCGGGCGGGCCCGGGAGAAGCTGCCGACCCGGGCGGAGCTGGAGAGCGCCCTGCGCGCCGGCGGCGGCGGCACCGGCGGCGGCACCGGCGGCGGCTTCAAGGACATCCCGGGAACGTCGGCGGTCAGCCCCGGCTCCTCCAAGCAGTGCGCCCCGGACACCGAGAGCCCGTCGGGGACCGGCGAGGCGGATTACTGCCGCCGCATCCTGGTGCGAGGTACGGGCACGCTCCCCGCTTCCCCCGCTTCCCCCGCCGGGGGTTCCCGCTCCGGGCACGGGGCATCCCCGGCACCGCTTCCAGCGCATCCCGGCCGCGACCCCCGGCCGCGACCCCCGGCCTCCCGGCCCCGCCGCTGCTGCGAGCGGGGCCGTGCCCAGCGGGCGGCCGGGAGGGCTCCGGGAGAGCGGCCCGGGGCTCACGGAGCCGCCGGGCCGGCGGAGCCCCGCGGGGGACGCGCGGGCGGCGGCAGAGGGGGGACAGCATCAGCCCGGCGTTGGGAGCGATGTCGCAGGAGAAAAGCGTCACGGAGCGGCGGCGGGCGAGGGGGGGTTTATTTATTTTTTTTTTTTTCCCCTTTCCCCTTTATAATATCACCGGCCCGGCCCCGGCTGGGGCTCGGCGCTCCCCGGAGCCGCCGCGTCCCGCATCCCTCGCCCCGCCGCCCGTACTCAGCCCCCGCCGGCCCGGGACCACTTCTGGCTTGTGCCGAACCCCGAGAAGTTTGGGGCGCCCTGGCGCGGCTGTCGCGGGCGGGCGGGACCCGAGCGCCCCGGGGTCCCGGGGATGCTCCGCGTCCCCGCCGCTCCTCCCGGAGCCCGGAGCGGCTCGGCGGTCAGGCCGAGGCCTCCCGGTGCCCAGCGCAGCGCTCGGGCGAGCGGAGCGGCGGCCGTGACCTCCGTCCTGTTGGCCGCGGGGACCGGAGCCGGTCCGTGCCCCTGTCCCGTCCTTATCCCGTCGTTATCCCGTCGTTATCCCGGGTTCGGGCATCCCGCGAAAGCGCCGCCGCTCACCCAAACCTCTGTCCCGGTTGTCGCGATAGGCGCCCTTCGCCGACAGCTCGGTTGTCCCAGTCCAAAGCGGGGACAGTGCCGGGCAGCGCTCGGTGAGAACCCCGGGGTCCCGGCCGTGCTGTCCCCGCGTCCCCGGGGGTCGCCGAGCGGGGCTGCCGCCGGTGCCGCCGGGGTCAGGCTGGGGTCAGGCCTCTCCTCCGCCGGTTCCAGCCCCACCGAGGCCGCCCCGACGGTGCCGGCACCGGGAGAGGGGCGGGGGTCGGAGCCCAAGGCCGGGGCAGGGTCTCCGCTCCCGCCGACCCCGGGGACCCTCACCGGGAGCTCCCGGTTTCACCATCTTGCCGCGGCCGCCACGGTGCGGACAAAATGGTGGCGGGGAGAAAACGCCGCAAATCACCGGGATTGACCGAAATGAAACCGGGGGAAGGCGGCGGGGCCACCCGGGCTGCGGGCACACGGACCCGCCGGTGCCCACCCTCGGTGCCGCCGCCGGGCAGGGCCGGGCCCGAGCCGCGGCTGGGCCCGGAGCCTCGCGGTCGGTTTTGTGCGAAGCGGGAGGTTAAAACCTTCATTTTTATGTTTTAAAATATTATTTTTTTTAAATATTTTGAGTTTCGCCCTCGCTGCTTGCCCCGGGAAAAGGGCCCCGCCAGCCCCGGCCTCGGTGAGGAGCGGCGGCCGCGGAGCTGCCGCCAGCCCCGGTGCAGCTCCGGTGCAGCCCCGGTGCAGCCCCGGTGCAGCTCCAGTGCAGCCCCGGTGCAGCCCCGCTGCAGCCCCGCTGCAGCCCCGGTGCTTTGGGTGAAGTCGGGGGGTCCTGGTGACCCCCTCACACCGACGGGGTCCTCTCGGGTCCCAGTCCGCTCGATGATCCCGCGGTACCGGGGATGGTCCGTGCGGGACGGAGCCCCCGGTCCCCTCCCTGTCACCTCCCGGTCACCTCCCGGTCACCTCCCGGTCTCATCGAGCTGCCGCCAGCCCCGGTGCAGCCCCGGTGCAGCCCCGGTGCAGCCCCGGTGCTTTCGGTGGAGTCGGGGGGTCCTGGTGACCCCCTCACACCGACGGGGTCCTCTCGGGTCCCAGTCCGCTCGATGATCCCGCGGTACCGGGGATGGTCCGTGCGGGACGGAGCCCCCGGTCACCTCCCGGTCACCTCCCGGTCACCTCCCGGTCTCATCGGGGGTGGCTCCCGGGGATAAACGCGACAAGGAGGAACCTGGGCAGCCCCGGGGCCGCTCCCGCTGTCACCGCGGCCACCGCAGCCGCTCGGGGCTGGGGACACATCCCGGGATGCTCCCCCGGTCACCTGCCGGGGCTGGCCCGGCGCTGGGCCTGGTGGCCACAGAGCTCGTGGAGGGTCCCCGGTGGCGTTTGGTGCCACCGTGGCCACCCCATGGCGCTGAGGGGACATCCTGGGGGCTGGCAGGGGGGGTGTGCACCCCAAAAGGTCCTGGCAGCTGTGATGGTGTGGGGACACAGGCGGGCACGGGTGTCCTTGTGACAGCGTGGGGTGTCCCTGTGACAGTGTGGGGTGTCCCTGTGACAGTGTGGGGTGTCCCTGTGCCATCATGGGGTGTCCCTGTGACAGCGTGGGGTGTCCCTGTGACAGTGTGGGGTGTCCCTGTGCCATCGTGGGGTGTCCCTGTGACAGTGTGGGGTGTCCCTGTGACAGGATTGGGTGTCCCCATGGATTTGGGTGCCCTCGGCTCTTTCGGGGCATTTCAACCCCAGCCCTGTGCTGGCTCCAGGGCCACCAGGAGTACCCTGGTTCCCAAGAGCAGGACGTGTCACCAGTGAGGCCCAAGGCTCCGGAACCCCCCGGGAATTTTTGGGACTTCAGAAAGGGAAAAGGCTCTCAGGAGGGCATTCCAAAGGCTGGAATGGGGGGATGCCCTGAGCACCCCAAAACCTGCACTGGGGAAGGTCAGCAGGGTGGGACGAGGGGTTTGGTGTCCCCTGTGCCGAGCTGGCACCGTGGCCATGCCCTTTTCCCTGCCGTCCCTCCGGAGCTGCTCCAGCTGCCGAGGGAACAACAATAAATAATGCCGGGCTGGAGCCGAGGCCGCAGCTGCAGCCCCGGCTCCGGCGTCCGCGGCATTCCCGGCTGTTGTTGTGCCGTGGCCGTGGTGTGGGCACGGATGTGGGCACGGGAGTGCGGACGTGGCCTGGGCATCGTCACCGCCACGGGACAGAACCCCCCGGGAATTTTTGGGACTTCAGAAAGGGAAAAGGCTCTCAGGAGGGCATTCCAAAGGCTGGAATGGGGGGATGCCCTGAGCACCCCAAAACCTGCACTGGGGAAGGTCAGCAGGGTGGGACGAGGGGTTTGGTGTCCCCTGTGCCGAGCTGGCACCGTGGCCATGCCCTTTTCCCTGCCGTCCCTCCGGAGCTGCTCCAGCTGCCGAGGGAACAACAATAAATAATGCCGGGCTGGAGCCGAGGCCGCAGCTGCAGCCCCGGCTCCGGCGTCCGCGGCATTCCCGGCTGTTGTTGTGCCGTGGCCGTGGTGTGGGCACGGATGTGGGCACGGGAGTGCGGACGTGGCCTGGGCATCGTCACCGCCACGGCGCTTCCCACACAAAATGGTTCCCGGCGCTGATCCCGCCGGAAAAGCCGCTGATCCGCCTACAGCCCCTTTCCTTCCCGGCAGCTCCGCGCCAGCCCGTGGGGTTTGGGGTGTGGGTGCAGTGCCACCACCCCCCGTGCCACCCTGGGTGTCCCCAGGCCCTCGGGACTCCTTCGGTGCCGCGTCCTGGGATGGCGCCTCGGTCGTGTCCCGCGGCTCCACGGTGGGACCGTGGCTCTGGGATTGGGGTCCCTTTCCCAAATCGGTGTTTGGTCCCCATTCCCACTATCCCAGTGCCGGATCCACCGCCCTCATCCCAGCTCCTGTGTCGTCATCCCAGCTCCGCTGATCCTATGGCAGTGCCAGCATTCCCATCCCAGTGCCACCGTTCTGATCCCGGTGCCACCATTCTGATCCCAGTGCCGCCATTCCCATCCTAGTGCCACCATTCCAATTCCGGTGCCACTGTTCCAATCCCAGCACCGCCATTCCAATCCTGGTGCCACCATTCCCATCCCAGTGCTACGATTCCCATCCCAGCACCATAGTTCCCATCCCAATTCTACGATTCCCATCCCAGTGCCACCATTCCCGTTCCGGTATCACTGTGCCTCTCCCAGTGCCACTGTTCCCATTCTGGTACCACCATTCCCATCCCAGCACAACCATTCCAATCCCAGTGCCACCATTCCAATCCCACTGCCACCATTCCAGTGCCACCATTTCCATCCCAGTGCCACCATTCCCATCCCAATCCCAGTGCCACCATTCCCATCTCCGCCATCCCCACCCCATCTCCATCACCCCATTCCCAGCTTTTCCTCGCTGTTTTCCTCCTTCCTACCCCAGGAATTTTATAATTCCTCCATGCCCAACTCATCCAGAGGAGGGGAGAGTCGTTGACCTCCAGCCGGGATCCCTCTGGAACTGGGATCCAGCATCCCAAAATCAGGGCTTGGAGCGACTTCCTGGCTGGATTTTAACCCTCTGGAAAAGCCCCTGGGAGAGCTCACCCAAACCCAGTCGGGATTTGGGATCTGGGAAGATCCCAGCGTGTGATTCCCGAGGCTCATTTTAATTCCTGGGAGCTGGGACAGAATTCCTGTCAATTTTTTTGGTGGAGTTTGTCCTTTCCCGGTGGGAAGCCGCGGAGGCTCCTCTGGAATGGCCACAGCCACTTCCCATGGCCAAACCCTCAAACTTTTCTTTCCCTGGATATTCCCAACCTGATAAAATCCACAGTTGGGAGCAGCTCGGTGCCCACAGCGCTTCCCAAACTTGTCCTTTAATAGGAAACCTCCCCAAAACGGGAGCTGAGCTTTCCAAGGAAATATTCCTCCAGTGAGGGTAATTCTGGAGAGATGGAAATTGTAACAGAGGTGAATTTTTCCCAGTATTCCCAAGGAAAGACACAAACAAAAAAATATATAAAAATTACATTTAAAAAAAAATCTTTAATTCGAATTCTTCCTTGGCATAAATCTGCTGTTTGCTCCTGGCTTTCCAAACTATTATTCCCAGGATTAAACGCTCCATTTTCCCCAAAAAATTTGTGGCTTCTATTTATGTCTTTAAAAAAACCCTAATTCATGGAAATTTGTTGCCTTTCCCTGGATATTTATAAACTCTCTGCATTTGGGGCCAGAGGGAAGAACCAAGCCATAATTTAGCTCCAGGTTGTGGGAATTGCATGGATAATCCACATCCAGATACTCTTTAATTTCATTTATTTTCTATTTCCCCCCCAATTTTTGGATTTTTGGACCGATTCCTTCAGTTTTGTTTATTTTCCTGACAGTTCTCCCCATCAAAAATTATATTAAAATTACAGAAAAAATAATCTTTAATTCAAATTCTTCCTTGGCATAAATCTTCTGTTTGCTCCTGGCTTTCCGTATTATTATTCCCAGGATGAAATGCTCTGTTTTCCCAATCTTTGGTAACCGCATTTTTGGATTTTTAGACTGGTTTTTTCAGGGTTTTTTTTTTCCTCTGACTGTTCTCCCCATCAAAAATTATATAAAAATTACAGAAAAAATAATCTTTAATTCAAATTCTTCCTTGGCATAAATCTTCTGTTTGCTCCTGGCTTTCCGTATTATTATTCCCAGGATGAAATGCTCTGTTTTCCCAATCTTTGGTAACCGCATTTTTGGATTTTTAGACTGGTTCTTTCAGGGTTTTTTTTTTCCTCTGACTGTTCTCCCCATCAAAAATTATATAAAAATTACAGAAAAAATAATCTTTAATTCAAATTCTTTCTTGGCATAAATCTTCTGTGTGCTCCTGGCTTTCCAAACTATTATTCCCAGGATGAAACGTTCCTTTTTCCCAATGCTCATTAATGGCATTTTTGCATTTTTGGACCAATTCCTTCAGTTTTGTTTTTGTCCGTGATGGCTCTCCCCATCAAAAATTATATCAAAAATTACAGAAAAAATAATCTTTAATTCAAATTCTTTCTTGGCATAAATCTTCTGTGTGCTCCTGGCTTTCCAAACTATTATTCCCAGGATGAAACCCTCCATTTTCCCAGTGCTCGTTAACCACGTTTTCGGATTTTTCGACCAATTCCTTCAGTTTTGTTTTTGTCCCTGATGGTTCTCCCCATCAAAAATTATATCAAAAATTACAGAAAAAATATTTAATTCAAATTTTTCCTTGGCATAAATCTCCTGTTTGCTCCACCCTTTCCAAAGTATCATTCCCAGGATGAAACCCTCCATTTTCCCAGCGCTCGCTAACCGCCTTTTTTAATTTTTGGACCGATTCCTTCACTCTTTTGGGGTTTTTTCCTGACGGTTTTCCCTGTTTTCTGCACAGATGCCAAAGGGACGATCCGTGAGATCGTGCTGCCCAAGGGGCTGGACCTGGACCGGCCCAAGCGGACGCGGACGTCCTTCACGGCGGAGCAGCTCTACCGCCTGGAGCTGGAATTCCAGCGCTGCCAGTACGTGGTGGGCCGCGAAAGGACGGAGTTAGCGCGGCAGCTCAACCTCTCCGAGACGCAGGTGAGACCCGCGGGGGCTCCTCAGGCTCGGGGACACCGCGGTGGCCGTGTCCCCGAGCCGTCGGACGCGCGGAGAGAGGCGGCGATGGGATGCACGCGGCGTTCCTTCCCGGCGACGGTTTTTCTTCGTCGCGTCCTTGGAATGGTTGGGATGCGGTTGGGGACAGCCCTGAGGGGTCTGTGGGGACACCCCCAGCCTGTGGTGTCCACTCAAATGTCCGGCGAAGCGTCAAGGAGAGGTTGGACAGGGATTGGATCAGGGAAGGTGGCCCTGGATGAGCTTTGAGGTTGCTTCCAAGCCAACACATTCCATGATCCCGGGAAAAGCGGGAGGAGAATGGAGCAGGGGGTGACAGCGGTGACCCCAGGTGGGGATTGGGGTGTGTGGGGGCTGCTCCCGCTTTTCCTGCATCCCAAATCTGGCAATCCAGGAATCAGCCCTGCATCTCTTCTCCATCGCCTTCCTTGGATGATGGGAAGGGATTTTCCTGGTTTTGCTGTGCTGGGGAGAGCCGGGAGAATGCACGGGGTGAGCTCTGAGGTTGGTGCCTCTGATGGGGTCGTGATGGTTTTGGCTTAGAAATTTATTATTAAATAGTAATAATAATTAATTAAATAATATTAATAATTGTATAAAATAATAATAATAATAATAATAATAATAATAATAATAATAATAATAATAATAATAATGATAATAATAATAGAATAATTATAAATATTCAGCCTCGTCCACCCTGTTCCTGCTGGGTCTGGTGATTGCATAGTTTACCTTGATTTGTACAGGAAATAATTCCAATTTTTCCGACCCTTTTTATGGAACAAACCCACCCCAGCCAGGGGCAGCCAGGCCCTGGCTCCAAGGGGTGCCCAGGGATCCCACTGGGATTTTTTGGGAGATCCTACTGCTGGGTGAGGGGGAAATGGACGTTATGGGATTGTTTTGGTGGTGGAATAGTGGGATTTCAGTGAGGAGGAGGATTGGGGTGGGATTTGGCTGTGCTGTGGTCGGGAGAAAAGCATCCTTGGGTTCCTTATTCCCAAGGTCCCAGTGTCACCTCCATGGTGCCAGGAGGGTCACAGGTGGCCTTGGCTTTGTCACTCTGTGTGAACACCTTTGTCCCTCTGGTGAGGGGTCCCTTTTCCCAGGTCCTTCTTCCTGGCGTCCCTCTTCCTGGAATCCATCCTCTTGGGGTCCCTCTTCCCGGGATTTCTCTTCCCGAGGTCCCAGTGTCACCTCCATGGAGCCAGGAGGGTCACGGATGGGCTTGGCCGCGTCACCCTGTGGGAACAGCTTTGTCCCCCAGGTGAGGGGTCCCTTTTCCCAGTGTCCTTCTTCCCGGTGTCCCTCTTCCTGGAATCCCTCTTCCTGAGGCTCCTTTTCCCAGGAATTCCCTTGCCGAGGTCCCAGTGTCACCTCCACAGAGCTGGGAGTGACATGGGTAGGCTTGGCTGTGTCACAGCCTGTCCCCCTGGTAAGGGGTTCCCTTTTCCTGGGATCCCTCTTCCTGGGCTTCCTCTTCCTGGGATTTTTCTTCCCAAGGCCCCAGTGTCACCTCCATGGAGCCAGGAGTGTCACAGGTGGCCTTGGCCGTGTCACCCCGTGGGAACAGCTTTGTCCCCAACACAGGCAGCCACTGATGGGTCCCTCTTCTTGGGGTCAGTCCCTTTTCCTGGAATCCCTCTTCCCAGGGTTCATCTTCCCGGGATTTCTCTTCCTGAGGTCCCAGTGTCACCGCCATGGAGCTTGCCATGGAGCTGGCACTGTCACAGGTGTCACTCTGCAGGGACAGCTTTGTCCCCTGGCAGGGTCCCTTCCTCAAGGTCCCTCTTGTCACTGTCCCAGTGTCCCCTCCACAGATCCATGGGGACTGTGCAAAGCGGGAGCGGAGGATTCCAGGGAGCTGGAACTTCCTTTTCCCAGGATTCAGCAATTCCCTTTTCCCAGGGTTCCTCTTCCTGTGGTCCCGGTGTCACCTCCACAGAGCTGGGAGTGACAGGTGACAAGGGACAAGCTGTGCGTCCCCGGCGTGGGATCCCTCTTCCCAAATCCCCCTTCCCACATTCCCTTTCCCAAATCCCCCTTCCTCAATCCCTCTTCACAAATTCCTCTTCCCAAATCCCCTTTTCCAAATCCCCCTTCCCAGGATCCCACTTCCCAAATCCCCCTTCCAAAATTCCTCTTCCCAATTCCCAAATCTCCCTTCCCAAATCCCTTTTCCCAGGATCCCTCTTCCCAAATCCCTCTTCACAAATTCCCCTTCCCAAATCCCCCTTCCCACATCCCCCTTCCCAGTCCCCCTTCCCAAATCTCCCTTCCCAAATCCCCCTTCCCAATCCCCCTTCCCAAATCTCCCTTCCTGCATCCCCCTTTCCAAATTCCCCCTTTCCAAATCCCCTTCCCCAGTCCCCCTTCCCAATCCCCCTTCCCAAATCTCCCTTCCCACATTCCCCTTTCGAAATTCCCCTTTCCAAATACCCCTTCCCAATCCCTTTTCCCAAATCCCTTTTCCCAGTCCCCTTCCCAGGCTCTCTCCGTGGTCTCGGCGGTGCCACCATGGCCAGCGTTTGTCCCCTGGGCACGGCGGACGCTCCCAGCAGGGTGCCAGGGCTGGGAGGTCACAGCCTTTCCTTAGGGATGAAATTCCCATCTTTTCTCTGGAGCCTGGCTGCTGCCTCCATCCCTGGGTGAGAAAATTCCCACCCCGTGGGCCGGGCGCTGTCGCTTCTCCTCCGCTCTCCCCCTTCCCGCACCCCCTTCCCTCCTTCATCCCTGTCTCCTTAAATTCCTTTCCCTGCTTTTCACACCATTTTTCCTTCCCTGCAGCCAATTCCCAGTTTCCAGAACCTTCCTGGCTCCCTGATTTTTCCAAGCCACCCAAAATTCCCAAATTCCTCCTCTTCCTCTCTCTCCGGCGATGGTTCCGCACTCAGGCATCCCCCTTTTCCTCATTCCTGGTTTTTCACGGCCAGGATGTTTTCCTCAGGAATTCCAAGAGCTTTAAACTGAGTTTTCCAAGCCCCCTTTGGGTCTGGAAGGTGCTGATCCCACCTGGATGTGGCCTGGAGAGGGAAAAGTGACCTCCAGCCCCTCCTGTCCCCACCCAGCTCCTCCAAACCGGGACAAATCCGACTTTTGCATCAATCCCAGGATTTTGGCTGCTTCTGGTGATTCATTCCCGGAGCAGCTCCCAGAATTTAGGGAATTTTGGTGGTGAATCCCAATCAACATCATCTCCTGGCTCTTTATTTTTTGGGGTACAGGGGACAGATCCTTTCCAGCCCCTCCCTGGGCTGGATTTTAATTCCAAGACGAATCCTTGGAATTAAATCTTTAATTCCGAGGAAGCTGCTCCTGACTTTTCCCTATGGATGTGTTGGGAACCCTGAAGGAGAGGGGCCACCAGGGCTGGGATTTTTTTTTGTGTGTGTGCCTGTGGATGTTTGGGAAGGGAGGGGGAAGGATGATTCATCCCGGCGAGGAGGGAATGTGACGAGATGGGAAGAGACACGGTGTGATCGCAGCTGGAATGCTGCAGCATTCCGGGAGCGGGGCTGGGATCTTGCAGAAATCCTACTGGAAATAGGGGGGGGAAGGGGGGTTTAGGGTCTGGTTTTGTTTTCCTGGCAGCTGTTCGGGAGAGTGGGAGGCAGGATGGGTTGGGGAGAGCGGGATTTGGGATTTTTTGGCTTGGAGTTGTGCTCCAGGAGTGGGGGATTGGGCTGGGAGAGAGGGAACTGCTGGGAGGAGAGGAGGGATCGGGCAGGGAGAGAGGGATCACCCCAAAAACCCTGGGATCACCCTGGGAATCAGCCAGGAGTGAGGGTGGGATCATCCAGGGAGAGCAGGGATCATCCAGGAGAATGGGGAATCTCCTGGAAGTGAGGGTGGGATCATCCAAGGAAAGCAGGGATCATTCAGGGGAGATGGGAATCACCCAGGAGTAAGGATGGACTCACCCAGAAACGATGGGATCACCCAGAAATTATGGGAATCTCCTGGAAGTGAGGGTGGGATCATCCAAGGAAAGCAGGGATCATTCAGGGGAGATGGGAATCACCCAGGAGTAAGGATGGACTCACCCAGAAACGATGGGATCACCCAGAAATTATGGGAATCTCCTGGAAGTGAGGGTGGGATCATCCAGAGAGAGCTGGGATTGCTCAGGGGAGAGGGAAAATCACTCAGGGAAAAGGGGGATCACTCAGAAAAGATGGGAATCACCCAGGAGTGAGGGTGGGATCACCCAGAAATTATGGGAATCACCTGGATGTGAGGGTGGGATCATCCAAGGAAAGCAGGGATCTCTCAGGGGAGATGGGAATGACCCAAGAGTAAGGATGGACTCACCCAGAAATTATGGGAATCACCCAGAAGTGAGGGTGGGATCACCCAGAAATGATGGGATCACCCAGAAATTATGGGAATCACCTGGAAGTAAGGATGGGATCACCAAGAAATGATGAGAATCACACAGAAATTATGGGAATCACCCAGGAATGAGGATGGGATGACCCAGAAAAGATGGGAATCACCTGGAAGTGAGGGTGGGATCATCCAGGGAGAGGAAGGATCAGCCAGGGAAGAGGGGATCACCCAGAAATAATGGGAATCACCCAGGAAAGATGGGAATCACCCAGGCGTGAGGATGGGATCACCCAGGAATTATGGGATCACCCAGAAATTATGGGAATCACATGGATGTGAGGGTGGGATCATCCAGGAGAGTGGGAGGAAATTTCAGAGCCAAAGTTGCTTCCACCCATCCCGGGAATTCCTCTTCCCTCCCGGGATCCACGTCCCCACTCTGCCTCCCAGTGCTTTTCCTAATTAATCCACGGATATGATTAACGTTCAACGAGTTTAATTAACCTGGGGAATGTTTCCATTGGGGAATATTTCCATGGAGACCCCGAGGTGAGCTCTGAGGTCCTTGGGATGAGCTGGGAAGTGGTGGGAACATCCCAAACCCATCCCAAATCCTGAGGGCAGCTCATATCCACGGATCCAGCTTTTTCTGGGAAAATTCACTGGAATACTGAAGGGAAAAGTGCCCCTTCCCAGTATCATTATGGGATGGAAAATCCCAGGTGGAGGAGGCAGAATAGGGAAGGAGAGGGGGTGGAATTCCCATAAATCCCTCGTGGGATGGGATGGGATTGGGATGGATGAAGGGATTTGCTCTCAGGGTCTGGAGTTCATTGCCAGGCTCAGGTTCAAGTGATCCCGGTGTTTTCCAGCCCTTCTTAAGGCCCGGACAGGGAGGTGACACTCAGGATGAGGGGCAGTCCCAAATTGTGCCGGGGAAGGTTTCGCTTGGATTTTTTGGGGAAAATTCCTACATGGAAAGGGTTTCCCAACTGCTCGGAGCAGGGGTGGATCCCCATTCCAGGGGGATTTGCCAGCCCTGTGGATGTGGCACTTGGGGACGTGGTGGTGGCCTTGGCAGTGCTGGATTCAGGAGTCTCCAAGGGTTTTTCCAACCTAAATGATCCCATAATTCCATGATTTCCGCCTGCCTGGCTGCTGGCAAATCCATGGGATTCTCCGGGTGTCCCCATGGGCTCCATGCAAACTTTCTTGGGGACAACTCCTGGGCCACCCTACAACTCCAGCCCCACACCCCCTGGAGCATCCCGGGATTCCCAACATGGAGCAAAACATCTGGGAAAGCCGAGGAAGCCGGGAAGGTCTATTTATAGCCTAGCAATTAAGAGGAGGCCGTTAAAAATTAATCACCTCGGCTCGTTAACGGCTCCCGGTCCCCGCAGGGACAGAACAAGGGGACAAGGGCTGGGGCTGCCGCAGGTTTTCCTCTCCTGGGGGAAGAAAAAAAGCAGGAAAGATGAGGTTGGGAAGAGCTGGGAGCCCCAAAACCCCGTGATTCCCATTTCCCTCTGGACTGGGACACGGAGGAAGTGACGGGATCCACGCCAGGTGGTTTTGGAACTTCCAAAGGGCAGGGCTGGGATATTGGGAAGGAATTCCTGGCTGGGAGGTGGGAAGGGGCTGGGCTGGAATTCCCAGATTTCCTGTGTGCCCCTGGATCCCTGGCAGTGCCCAAGGCCAGGTTGGATCCACCTGGGATAGTGGGAGATGTCTCTGCCCCTGGAAGAAAAGCTTTAAGGTCCTTCCCAACGCAACCCAGTTGGGAATTCTGGGATTCAGTGGTTCTTTCCTGGGGGCCTCCATCCCTCCCTCCATCCCTCCCTCCATCCCTCCCTCCATCCCTTGGACTGGGACACGGAGGAAGTGACGGGATCCACGCCAGGTGGTTTTGGAACTTCCAAAGGGCAGGGCTGGGATATTGGGAAGGAATTCCTGGCTGGGAGGTGGGAAGGGGCTGGGCTGGAATTCCCAGATTTCCTGTGTGCCCCTGGATCCCTGGCAGTGCCCAAGGCCAGGTTGGATCCACCTGGGATAGTGGGAGATGTCTCTGCCCCTGGAAGAAAAGCTTTAAGGTCCTTCCCAACGCAATCCAGTTGGGAATTCTGGGATTCAGTGGTTCTTTCCTGAGGGGCCTCCATCCCTCCCTCCATCCCTTCTGCCAGAGCTTTTTCGGGACGGGATGAACTCTCCCACCCTGTTTTCCTGGAGCACTTCCCTGACTCACTTCCAGGAGGGATCTGGGCTATTCCAGAGGATCTGGGAAGAGCATCCTGCAGCTGTCAGTTCCTTGGGAATAGGTGGCAACGGGGAGCATCAGCCTGAACGATCCCACATTTAATGGGATCGGGTCACACTGGGGTGCTGAAAGCACCCGGAAGGTGGAAGATCCCGAATCCTGGTACCCACCGGAGATTCCCGGGATTTGGGAACCTCCAGCAGGTGCTGGATCCCGTTCCCACATCCCAGCCTGCGTCCGAGCACGTTCCTGGAGCAAACCCAGCTCACGTGGCCCCGCTAATCCTGGCCCCTCCTGGCAGCGGGGGCCTGGGGGGGACAATAAAGCCGGGCCTAAGTGGGGACATGGCGGTGGCACGGCCAGGCTGGCACAGCCCCCGGAGATTCCCGAATTCCGGCATCGGCATCCCAAAAACCCGTCTGGGAGGATAAAATCTGGATTTCTGGGGAGTGTTACTAAAAAGGGGAGCGGGAAATTGAGGTGTGCTCTGGGATAGAGGAGTTGGGTATTTGGGATCCCAAAATATCCAGGTGCTTCCGGAATGCTCCAAGCACGGAGTGAAATGGCTGATGGGGAAAAATACTGGGAATAATTCACCGAGATTTGTATCATTAAGGATTTGCAATCCCCTCCCCCCAAAAAATAAAATTCTGGGATTTCAGAATTTCTGATGGAAAGCTTTGATTCCCGATGAAGCTGAAATGGGTTTTCCAGAGCAATCCCAGCATCCTCCAAGGGGATGTGATTGAAATGTTTTCCTGAAAAATGATGGGATTTGGGTTTGGCGATGGTTTTCTTGAGTTTTGGAGCTGATCCTGATGCTGGGGCTGGAATTCCCACCCACAGGTCCCATCCAGACCCTCGGGATTTCATGGAGGGTGTCCCCACTAGGGTGGTGTCCCCACCCATCCCAGAAGTTCCCAAAACCCCAAAAATGGGGGAATTCCCCTCCAGCTTCACCAGTGTCTCCAAATTTTCCATTTCCAAAGGGCACCAGAGCACCCACAAGGGTCCCTGGCCGCAAAACCGGGAATATCCGGAATTTTGGAGCAGGAGCCAGAC